CTCCAGCACTGACCGGCACTCGCCTCGTGAGATGCGACAGCTGGACTACGTGGCCCAGTTCTCCACGGACATCCGTCACGTCCCCGGACGGGACAATCTGGTCGCGGACGCACTCTCCCGCACCGTCTCCATGCTGCTCGTCCCCCAGCCGCCGCTGGACGACTTCGACGCCATGGCAGACGCGCAGCGAGAGGACCCGACGTTGGACACGTTCCGGTCCTCTAACCACTCGCTCCGCCTCCGAGACGCCAAGCTCGCCTCTGGAAAGACGCTGCTCGTGGACGACTCCACCGGCATGCCCCGGCCGTGGGTGCCCACTGCCCTCCGCCGGCACGTGTTCCGACTGATGCACGACCTGTCCCACCCGGGCATCAAAGCCACCACCGAGCTGGTCACGGCTCGCTTCGTCTGGCCGCAGATGAAGAAGGACCTGCACACATGGACCCGCTCCTGCGTCCGCTGTCAGCGAGCCAAGGTTCAGCAGCACACCAAGGCTCCTGTGACCCCGTTCCGACCGCCGGACGAGCGATTCAGCGCGGTGCACATCGACCTGGTGGGGCCGCTGCCGCCGTCCGACGGCTACACGCACCTGCTGACGTGCGTGGACCGCTACACCCGCTGGGTAGAGGTGGTCCCGCTGCGCGACACGCGCGCGGCAGCTGTCGCCCGCGCCTTCGTCAGCACCTGGGTGGCCCGGTTCGGCGTGCCTGACCACGTCACCACCGACCGCGGCTCGCAATTCGAGTCGGCACTGTGGGCCGAAATGTCAGCGCTGCTCGGCTGCGAGCGCCGCCGCACCACCAGCTACCACCCGGCGTGCAACGGCCTGATCGAGCGCGTTCACCGACAGCTCAAGTCGGCGCTCCGTGCCTGCGGCCGCACCACCTGGTCCGACGCGCTGCCGCTCGTCCTCCTTGGCATGCGCACTGCGCTGAAGACGGACCTCGGGTGCTCAGCGGCCCAGCTGGTTTACGGCACCACGCTGCGCCTGCCCGGCCAGTTCCTGGAGCGCTCCGCCACTGCCGCTCCGACGCCGGACTCCTACGCGGACGGCCTCCGCCGGGCGCTGGACCAGCTGCGGCCCACGCCGCCGCGTCCGGGCAGCTCAGCGGCTCGCGTCCCGCGCGCTCTTCAGGACGCCACACACGTGTTCCTGCGCCGTGACGCCACGAAGCCGCCTCTCGCCTGCCGCTACGACGGCCCGTTCCGAGTCGTCGCTCGCTCGGACAAGACGCTGACGCTCGACCTCGGCCGCCGCCAGGACGTAGTCTCGGTCGACCGTGTCAAACCGGCTCACCTCGACCCAGCGGATAGAGACTGTCACAGCGAGCAGCGCCGGCCACGCTCCCTGTCTACTGGAGTGACTCCTGGCCGGCCCGCGCCCGCGCAGCCGCTCCTCGGTCCGCGTCCGCTGATGCCGGTGCGCGACCCGTCTGCTGGTCGGCCGCCGCCTGTGACGCCTACCGGGACGCCCGTGCCGTCTACCGCGCTGCCCGTGCCGCCTACCGCGCCGCCCGTGACGCCTACCCTGTCCTCCGTGCCGCCTGTGCCGCCCGTGACTCCTGCCGCGCCGCCCGAGGGTCAGCCGCCGTCGCGCGTGCCGGCGCGACCCCCGGCGCGTGCCCCCCGACCGCCGTCGGCGCCCAGCTCTGTGCCGGCGCCGCGTTCGATTTTGAAGACTCGATCTGGACGGGAGGTCCAACGACCCGCTCGCTACCGTGTGACGTTTGTTGGACAGTGACGTTTTTCGTTGTGTTGTGTCGTGCAGGTTCTCCTTTTTTTGTGTCGACCGGTTCCGATTCGTGTTTCTCGTCACCGCTCTGGGGGGGAAGCATGTAGTGCCTGTAATTTGGTTGCGCTTTCCCTACGACAGCTGAATGTTTACGTTTCTGAAGGTCGCGCCGCCTCGATATTCTCTCGGCACTGGCTCGCGGCGCGGTGTCATCGTTCGGCTATTTTATTCGTTTCGCTCGTTTTTATGTTATGTGTGTGTAAAGTAAATATAACCTAAATTGTGTTAAACCTTTTACCGATCCACGCACAACACCGAGTTACTGAAATGGGAACAAATTTGGCACCTCTTATTGTTGTATTTTGCACGTGCACTGGGGGTGACCCACATGCATCGAGAGTATCCTATTTTGGGTAGAAGGGATGCTGCTGCCCTACAAAAATTACCGCAAGTCAATCGCCCAAGCGGCTGCTGAGATATGAGCCTCTTAAAATCACTACTTTTGTAAAACAGCTTGAACACCCTTGACTTTTCACGTGGCACGTGCCACGACGGTCACTGAGATGTATCAAAAGTAGTCAATTACGGGGTAGAAGGGATGGGGCTACCCAACAAAAAGACCGCAGGCCAATCGGTCCAGCGGTTGCTGAGATATAAGCCTCTCAAAAGCGTTACAGGCCGGGCCGGGCCGGGCCGGGCCGCTCATACTGAGATTTTTCCGTTATATTGAAAAGACTCACTTCGCTCGCTGCGCTCGCTCGCTCGTAATTATGTTTTTGTCTGATGCAATTGCAAGTCAACTGCACTCGGCAAGTAGGGAATCCAAACATGGGTGATTACGAGCGAGCGAGCGCAGCGAGCGAAGTGAGTCTTTTCAATATAACGGAAAAATCTCAGTATGAGCGGCCCGGCCCGGCCTGTAACGCTTTTGAGAGGCTTATATCTCAGCAACCGCTGGACCGATTGGCCTGCGGTCTTTTTTGTTGGGTAGCCCCATCCCTTCTACCCCGTAATTGACTACTTTTGATACATCTCAGTGACCGTCGTGGCACGTGCCACGTGAAAAGTCAAGGGTGTTCAAGCTGTTTTGCAAAAGTAGTGATTTTGAGAGGCTCATATCTCAGCAGCCGCTTGGGCGATTGACTTGCGGTGATTTTTGTAGGGTAGCAGCATCCCTTCTACCCAAAGTAGGATACTCTCGATGTATGTGGGTCACCCCCAGTGCACGTGCAAAATACAACAATAAGAGGTGCCAAATTTGTTCCCATTTCAGTAACTCGGTAATTACTGGGGCGATTTCGCTGAAACTTGGCATACAGGTAGGCACCCACCAGGCAATGCATTCCCATGTGTTGCGGTTAGGGTGCTACTGCACGTGCGCACGTGCAGGGGGCGTTTCCAGATCTCGAGAACGGCTGGGCCGATTGCGCTCAAATTTGGGACACGGTTGGGGACCAGTTAGTAGGGTGCCGTGCAAAAGTCATTTTGGACCCCGTTTGCACGTGCGCACGTGCAGGATGCCGCTTCCAGATCTCAGGAACGGCTGGGCCGATTGCGTTCAAATTTGGCACACCGCTAGCGACCGGTTAGAAGGGTGCTTTGCACAAGCCGGTTGGAAGCACCCTCTCGCCCTTCCGCACGTGCAGGGCTCACTATCTCGCTCGCTCGTTCTTCGCCCAAAAGGCGTTTTACTGGTTTGAACAGAGTTGTGCTGCAACGGACAACCACATTAGAGCCGATCGAGACGAAATCGCCATCAGACGATTCCTAAATCAGTCGCAACTAGTCAGCGCCCATCCCACGTTTATTACGAGCGAGCGAGCGCAGCGAGCGAAGTGAGTCTTTTCAATATAACGGAAAAATCTCAGTATGAGCGGCCCGGCCCGGCCCGGCCTGTAACGCTTTTGAGAGGCTTATATCTCAGCAACCGCTGGACCGATTGGCCTGCGGTCTTTTTTGTTGGGTAGCCCCATCCCTTCTACCCCGTAATTGACTACTTTTGATACATCTCAGTGACCGTCGTGGCACGTGCCACGTGAAAAGTCAAGGGTGTTCAAGCAGTTTTCCAAAAGTAGTGATTTTGAGAGGCTCATATCTCAGCAGCGGCTTGAGCGATTGTCTTGCGGTAATTTTTATAGGGTAGCTGCATCCCTTCTACCAAAGGTCGGATACTCTTGATCTATGTGAGTGACCCCCAGTGCACGTGCAAAATACAACAATAAGAGGTGTCAAATTTGTTCCCATTTCAATAACTCGGTAATTACTGGGGCGATTTCGCTGAAACTTGGCATACAGGTAGGCACCCACCAGGCAATGCATTCCCATGTGTTGCGGTTAGGGTGCTACTGCACGTGCGCACGTGCAGGGGGCGTTTCCAGATCTCGAGAACGGCTGGGCCGATTGCGCTCAAATTTGGTACACGGTTGGGGACCAGTTAGTAGGGTGCCGTGCAAAAGTCATTTTGGACCCCGTTTGCACGTGCGCACGTGCAGAATGCCGCTTCCAGATCTCAGGAACGGCTGGGCCGATTGCGTTCAAATTTGGCACACCGCTAGCGATCAGTTAGAAGGGTGCTTTGCGCAAGCCCGTTGGAAGCACCCTCTCGCCCTTCCGCACGTGCAGGGCTCACTATCTCGCTCGCTCGTCCTTCGCCCAAAAGGCGTTTTACTGGTACTAGGTTACCATTTCAACGCTTCAATGATGGGCGAAATTTCGCATTCGACGATTCTACTAGTGGTGTTTTTGTTTCAATCGGTTTGTAGTTGCTCATGGTAATTAAATAACTGCAATAGGTGAAAACCTTGATATTTTAGTTAAACGGGGTTATTTGAGATTATTTCATTAAAAAAATATACAATTGCTTATTCAGATACCAAAATTATCAGTTATTGACTCCCTCAAATGCTTATAGTTTATTTATGGGATGGCTGCAAGGAAAGCAGTGGAATAGGGTTGGTGTGGCTTCGGCAAATATGGTAGCAGGATAGTATCATTTGTATTTAAACTAGAAATACTGCCAGAAAATGTCACCTAGTTGTTTGTGTTATCCTATATTTTAGGCTTACTTTGTGCATTCATTTGAAAATTTTGTTAATAGAAATTTTGTTTTTTTGTTTTCATCAGAATCATGAAATGCTAGCACACAAAATATCAAAAATAAAATATATTTTGATAACCATGTAGTCTACTAGATTTTAGAAATCAAGCTCCCGCCTTGTTTCCGCCTAAAGGATTCCCGCTTCCCGCCAAATTGGCGCGCTGCCAGATTCACACGCGCTCGTGTCGGTCAACAACAAAAGATTTTATACTCTGGTGCGCGTTTGGGGGTAATTAGCCCTATTTTTCGTGTTTTTGGTTATTTTGGATATTTCCTTTGGTAAGCCACGTCTGATCGTGTCTTTTTCTATAAGAGTTATGGATGTCGCGGACAACTTTGTCGGTCAAAGCCAAGTGAAAGATGAAGTCGGGGACAGGTGCCAAAAACTTTTTCAAGATTTCCTCGAAGAGTAAGTACCTGCTCATATGCATTTTATATTATTTTGCCTGCTTTTACCATGCATTTGCCGTACAAAATAATGCCCATCTGTCACTTTCATTGATAGGTGATGTTATGTTACAATTGAAGCACTGTGAGGTAATTTTTTGTACCTATAACCGAACGCAGGTTAAAACAGGGCGCCGGAGGGCATATTAGTCACGTGACATTTGGAGCTTTTCCCCCTTCGTGGGCCTTCTACGTGCTAAACGTCACGTGTGAATTTCATGAACCTTGATCAAATCGCCCCAGGCACCCTGTTTTCACCGTCGTCCCTATAACCCACAGTCCAGTCTGCAAAAGGTGGCAGGGAGCTCGACAAGATTTTCGGGGCAGATGAAATTCTGCCCTGAATCAGGGTGCTGAGAGACGCGGTGCAGCCCAATTCTGGTTCCCAAATGGTATAATGGTCCCAGGGGCAGCCCATTTCCAATCTTTTTCTCATCTCTGCCCCGAGATTTCTCAATCCTGCCCCGATTTCTGCCCCGATTGTGAGAGCTGCCCCAACGAGATCTCGTTGAAACCTGCCACGTTTTTCAGCCAGCCCACAGTGCATATCAAGTAGGTAGGTATGCTGATAATGATAACCTTCTTCAAACATATAAAGTAGGTAGGTACCTTGGTTATAATATCAATCTATGCATGCAGATGGAAGGACCATAGCGGCGAGATCAAGTACCTGGAGGCTGCAAAGGAATTGGTGAAACCTGAGCGTAATACACTCCAAGTCAGCTTTGAGGATATTCAGCGCTTCAATCAGAGCCTGGCAACCACTATCCAAGAGGAGTTTTATCGGTAAGTTTTAAAAGATGTCAAATGAATAACAACATTTTGAAATTGGTTGATGTGACCTTGTCTCGTATTGGTGTTTTCCCAGCTGCTAATTAGGAATGTATAAGTTGGACCCCGGTGCCGTTCTGCCCCTAATTGAGCTAGAGCTTTGTGGGAAAAAATGAGCCTATTGCCTGTGACAAGAACAAACTGATGATACGAAATTTTAAGGTCCTAGGTCACTGGCAGACATTCCAGGTCAGGTCAATGACCCAAAAGTATGGAAAATCTGGACCTGCTATAAAAAGGTAATAGCTGCTTATGGTTTTTTGTCCTGATTACAAATGTCATGCTAGTTTTAATCAGAGATGCTGGATTCATGCATTTTGGGTGGGTGACTGAGGTCAAGTCAGGTCAAATAGTAGGCATCTGGCCAGCTATTTATAGGTGTCGACTGTCAACCACCAATATCAGCTTTGTTCCATGTTATGAAGGCACTAAAACTGTTTTTATTTGTTTCAGAGTGTGCTTAATTCAAAATCAGCTCCAAAAGCTAGCCTAGAAACTTAAAACACTTAAAAAACTGAATTGAGGTCATCTTACTATAGTTCGTTTTTCTTAAGTTTGCCCCTCACTGTAAACGTCTTTTTGAACACAGCACGAGAATTGCTAGCTGAATTACTGAAAAAACTGGTTGGCGCACATTGTATTGGAGATTTGAATAATATTTTCAAAATAAGTTTTGAAAGCCGACGATGTAACGTTAATGTTAAACGCCGTGCAAATTATTAATTAGTTCAGACATAATTCCTGAGAAGTCGTCTATCACTGTGGAGCTGTAGGTATGGGCAACTACGAGCTATGCGTCTGTGAAATAGTAAACAAATTTGATTAAATTGATCGTCTGTGAAATCTGGTGAAATCAATGTGCGCCAACCAGTTTTCTCAGTAATTCAACTAGCAATTCTCGTGCTGTGTTCAAAAAGGCGTTTACAGTGGGGGGCAAACTTAAGAAAAACGAACTATAGGTAAATGGCCTTGACCTGCCCACCATAATGCATCAGACAAACATCATATCACATGATGGAATTATGGTGAAAATTTTACAACCATCAAAAGACCAGATATGCAGATAATGTGCACCAACATTCGCTGAATCGTCCGACGTCCTGACATGGTCTAGAGAAATAGGTCTACAGCCCAAAGTTCACTTGGGTCAGGGTCATTGAATTTTCAGTGTAGGTGTACAGTTGCTCAACTGGAGGGTGCTGAAAGTTTCATGACGATCAGCCGTTTTTTACGCGATTTATTCACGAAAATCCGAGAGGTTCCGACTGCCCCCCCCCCATGCGAGTGCGAGGATTATCCCGGAACTAACGGTTTTCTACGTAAGCCCTGGCCAAGGGGGAGGTGGGTATGACCCCCCCCCCCCTAGCCGTTTCGCCCCTAATTGAGATAGAGTCGCGGGAAAGCGAGAATGTGCGCCGTTACAGACGTACCGAGCGAGCGACGTACCGAGGTAGCGATTGGTACCCAATTCTAGGTCTGAGGTCAACCGAATATGCTCGATTGTAAGGTCTTCTTCATGTTAGGTCTTCAGGTCGACCAAACTTGCTCTGCCAGCATCTGGTGGCAGGATTCTCTTATATCTCTCGACTAAAATACCGCCCCTGTCAGATTGTCTGGATCCGTTTCAGACCACTCAACGTCATTATAGCTCATTGAAGTGTTTGGCCCATTGTTGCAGAAAAATCAGCTGTTAGAGTGGTGCGACTATTTTCTTTTTCTTCTGTAGCCAGCCACAACCAGTGTCGCATACAGTATCCCCCCCCCCATCCTTAGAAAGAGAATCGGCCGTGGATGAATCTGTGCCAATGACCCAACAGCAGCACTTGTGTGGGTTTGAAAAGCCCATTGGCTGTGCAGATAATCACCAGGGGATAATCACTACGTTTCCATCACACGTCTAAATTGAAGAGAAATTTCACGTGCGTTCTTCTCGGATACTATTCACCTTATGCAAAAAAAAACAGCATATATTTGGTTTTAGCTAGCATCTAATCCTATATTTACATTTTTAAATGCTGCCTTTATTTTATGATGGAGCAAATCCATTTTCAAGATCGGCTTTACGTGTGTCATGGAACCGTGAACAATGAAACCGTTTCATAAAGCATCGTTTCATAAAGCGAGTCCGTAACTTACGGCGGTTTTTGGTCTTGTATTGCAAGTGCATGTGAAGCGATGACGTTAGTTTGAATTGTTGAATTTATTTATCTTGCAAGCAAGAACAGAAGGGAGAAGGGGAAATAAATTTAACGTTTCACGTGCTTTTGCAATACAAGACCAAAAACGGCGTAAGTTACGGACTCGCTTTATGAAACGAGGCCCAGCTGTTCGTTCTCATGGTTTTAGTGTTTCACATTCCTTTTCAGTGTTCACCCTTTCCTGTGCCGAGCTGTGCGCATCTTCGCAAAAGACCGTGGCGGCGTCTCTGTGGAGAAGGAGTACTACGTCTCGCTGGTGGAGTACCCCAGCGCGGTGCGCGTGCGTCAGCTGACCACCGACCGCGTGGGTCAGCTGCTGCGCATCACCGGCCAGGTGGTGCGCAGTCACCCGGTGCACCCGGAGCTGGTGACGGGCACCTTCACCTGCCTCGAGTGTCAGACCGTCATCACAGATGTGGAACAGCAGTTCAAGGTGAGGCGGACGCTGATGAGCCGTCTTTTGTGAGATAGATCGATATAAATTGACTGTTTTTCTTTTGAGGCCGTGAAGCGTCACTTCCGCATAGTGTTCACATTGTTTCCATTCCTTGCCGGTTGCCAATATCAGGCAGTAGAGAAATGTTATGCGATGATTCACTGATGATTCTAGGCTCCTTGCGCGTTGTTCGTGTGAAGGTGTCCGCACATTCCGGGAGGGGAGATACGATGCATTAACCCTCGCATGTGTGCGGCGTTTGCCGGCTTCTAATGTGTGTGTGTGTGTGTGGGGGGGGGGGGGTCGGTTGGACCCCCTCCCCCCTTGCCGTTTGGCCCCTGATTGAGGCTAGAGCTTCGCGGAAAAAACGAGCGTGCTGCCCGTGTCGAGAGGAAGCCGATGATACCCAAATTTAAGGTTCTAGGTCATTGGTTGACCTTCCAGGTCAGATCAATGACCCAAAAGTCGGGAAAACCGGGACCTGTTTGAAAGTCGTAAAGTGTGGCTGCTAAGAGGTTTTTCGGGGTGCTGATCACGAATATCGTGTTAGTTTTGATCACAGATGATGTCATTAAGCATTTAGACTAGGTCGGGTCAGGTCAGGTCAGCATTCGTAGTACGTGTCAACCGCCTCTGGCAGCTTCGTAACATGTTACGAAGGCACCAAAACTACTTCGTTAATGTTCAAATAGTTTCTAAATTCGAATTCAGCTCCAAAAACTAGCTTAGAAACATGTAAAGCTCAAAAAGTGAATCGAGGTCACCAAAGGTCAATGACCTGACCTGACCTTCAGGTGACCTTGACATCCACCCAAATGCATGGGAGCAGCATCAAATCACATGTTTGAACGTTTGAGACCACGAGAAGCTTGCATGCAAGCTTTCTTTATGCGGATAGAAACGGAGAAAGCAACAGTAGAAACACATATTAGACAACGTTTTAAAGAAGGGCTTTTTCTTCTTTTTGACCTTGTCACTATCCACAATGAGATCGTGGTCTCATTTCACTGATCGACCCTTGTCAACGCACATTTTGACACACAAAGTCGTTTTATTCTACTCTTACGGTAGAGCGAGACATTTAGAACGATGAATCACAAGCCAGCGATACCAGTTTTCCATTCATCACCAAAGTGTCTCACCTGTCGAAGCGAGACATCATCTCAAGCCTGTGTCGCGCACAGTAGGTACCCGTTGCTCGGGATTAGTCAGCAGTGTCAGAGCATCAGTGCATACTGCATATGCATCTGCAGTGCCAGCACCGTGGCGGCAGCCTAGGTGTGGTAGTTCTGGCTGCAGTGGTTATGCAGTCGTACTTGGCAGATGCTACACATTGTACGCGTTTTTTTTTTTTTTGACACAGCTTGCAGCGGCCTTGAGTGGCAGCCGGGACGATGAAGTGGTTTTGTGCAGTTCGGGAGACCACCGTCACCCGGCCGCTGCTGGGTCCTGGTCCGCTGCCGGTGACGTTTGGCGGACATGGCTCTTGTCTCGGGTTTTTAGGAGCTCCAGAGCGACCTCGCGAGTGAACACCAGCTGGTCCACACTTCTCTCGGTGCAGCTGCGGTACATGCGCCAGCTGGCTACTCTCAGTAGACCGAATGCGTTGGTGACGAGCGTGCCGTACCATTTCTTCCACCGGATCACAGGCCTGTAAGCCGCCACCGCTCCGTCCACTAGGTCTACGCCACCCATGTACAGGTTATATTCGTATATGAGGTTCGGCTGCTTGACCGTCACCTTCTTCTTTTCGTCACCCGACCAGCGTTGCACGTCTTTGAGTGGGCTGATGTCCGAGTGATTTGTGACCACTGTCACTGCCCTGTTGTCTCTCCACTTCACGGCCAGCACCCCGTTAGTGGATTGGTACCAATGCTGTCCCCTGGGCACCTTTTCAGCAGTTTTGTTGTCAGGCAGGGGACACTTCTTCAGCCTGTTGTCGCGCACAGTGCCCGTTGCTCGGATGCCTCTTTGACGGAGAGCTATCTATCATCAAGGCATACGACGAGAAGTAGTTGTCAAAGAACACATGGTGCTGGGCAGGCGTCTGAAGACATTTACGGGTGGCAGCTGATCGCCACCTTCCGGTGGCAGTATTACCAAGTCCAGCCCTTCATCGTGGTCATCACTGGCAACAGCAGCGATTGCCTCACTCAGCAGGCGCACAGATCTACGCGCCATGGTCAGGAGGATAAGTCACCACCCGTCACCTCTGCCGTGCATCACTCCCCGAACGCACTTGGCAGACTGAGAGCTTCTGTCTCGGGCACCCGAGGTGTGTTGAGTGTCGATACCAACGACCCTACTCCATTCGCTGACATTGGCGCCGACGGATATGACACTGCTGGACGAGACGACGCTCTATCATCCGAGCATCAGTAACGTGAGTGATACGGTCACTTGACACACCGGGTGTAAGACCTAGCGTGAGAGCAGAACCAGCCAAGAGACGTGCAAATTGAGTCGTGGAAATTGAGAACAAGTGAGAGTGAGAGAAAAGAGGAGGGAGAGAGAGAGAGAGAGAGAGAGAAGAGAGAGAGAGAGAGAGAGAGAGATAGAGAGAGAGAGAGAGAGAGAGAGAGAGAGAGAGAGAGAGAGAGAGAGAGAGAGCGAGAGAGAGAGAGAGAGAGAGAGAGAGAGAGAGAGAGCGAGGAGAGAGAGAG